TCTTACTTGCTAGCAAAACATCAAATTTGGTTAATAGTGCAAGTGCTCTTACCATCCACGTGACAAACATCTTTAATGTAGGCAAACAGGATGGTCATCAAAATATTAAGGCGCTCTGCGAGTGGATGGGCCATTCTCTCACTGCTGGGAGAGACAACTTTGTTTCCTTTTCCTTCCTCATCTTCCTCCTGGAATATAAAATGGCACATGCAGCTTTTATATATACAACATCAGAGAGACAGCAATTACAGGAAAAGTGAAACTAAACTTCTCTTTCAGTGATATGCTAAAGTTTCTTTTTTTTTTTACAAACATAGTATCCAATTACATAGTATAAGCCAATTTTTGTAAACTAAGCCAAGTAGCACAAACCCTTCAACTAGCTTTATGCACAGCTGCTTGTGTCCTTACATGATGACATCAAATCACTGCACAGACACTGGGTATTTAAAGCCAATACCCAAAAGCACATTAATCATAGAATTTTAGGGGTTGGAATGGACCTTATAGATCATCCAGTCCCAACCCCCTGCCCTGGGCAGGGACATCTCCTCACTAGATCAGGTTGCTCAAGGCTCATCCAGCCTGGCCTTGAACACTGCCAGGGTTGGGGCAGCCACAGCCTCTCTGGGCAACCTGTGCCAGTGTCTCAACACCCTTAGAGTAAAAAACTTTTTTCTCACATCCAACCTAGACCTTCCCTCCTCCCGTTTGAACCCACTGCCCCTTGTCCTATCACTGCAGTTCCTAATCATCTGTTAGCTGTTCAGGTTTCAAGAGCTGTGTGCAGTGCAGTAACAACAAAGCAGTAATGAACTTCTGCACTTAGTTCAAAGCCACCTCAGCAGTGAAAATTTCACTACAAAGATAAATATTTTAGTAAAACACGATAGCCAACCATATCAAAAAGTCCCTCCTCTGGAGAGTTTTCCCTGCCATCACTGGTATTAGCAGTTTCTTCAGCATCTTCAATATCTTGCTGTGGAGTGCTAACCTGCAGTTGCAAACCAGAAATTAATTTCTATAAAACCATGACAATAATATCCAACCTTTTTTCATCATTATTTATATAAAAGGAATGACAACACGAGTAAGACCTTGACTAGATTTTTGTCCTGGACTAAGTAAACATTTCAGAAGGGAATACATGCAATGTACAAATGCAACTCCAAACTGCCTGAAACTTTACCTCCTAAATACAAGCTCTCTACAAACTTATATACTGAGGTTCTCCAAAGTAAAAAGCTTGGATCATTTACAGTGCTACCCCTCCTGTCTTGAAACACTGTAAATCCCTTTACTTCAAATGGATGGTACAATTAATCAACCACACAAAGAGAAGCACATTCTCTACACATGAGCACTGACCACCACAGAACAGTTACTTTGATTCTGGCAGGGAATTTCCATGCAGGGTGTAACAGCACACACCATACAGTTACCCTCAGTTGTAGGAACATCTTAAGACTGGGAATGGAGTGTAAATTTGGCAGGGTTTATACTCATGATCACAAGCACAACTGCAGCATACTTTTAATCAAGCTTAAAACTGAAGTGTATTTAATGTCCTACTCTCTGTATTTTAACACCAAGACTCCATAAAAGATAACAGAGAATAAACTTACATCCAACTTTAACAGCTTTTCAATAATAAGCTCCAGAATTTGAAGCCTCAGAGTTGGAAGGTACACTGTAACTCGTAGCAGGTTATGAACATAACATTCCTATAAAACAAAATTAATTGATATCTATAATAATGTTAACAGAAAGCCTAATTTTTGCCAAGGACTTTTCATGGTTGCTAGCTGGGGTTAAACCACAACACACAATACTCTCAAACCCCTGCAATAATGCCACCAAATCAGTTGCAACATGGTACAGTACATTTATACATTTAAGAAAACCAAATCAACAAAAAAAAAATCACGGCTCTTACCAAAGTTCGTTCTGATTTATTAATGAAAGGAAAGTAGTCCACAAGTATTGGCATGAGAAACTGTGGTGTCCTATAATCAAAACAAAAATCAAACCCAGAAGTTATAGGTTATTACCATGAGAACAAATATTGAACTCCAGCACTCTAAAGACATATTGGAATAAGTTTATTTTAACAATAATTTTATTTTAAGGTAATTAATTGTATAAAATATGGCTTTGCAAGGATCACTGAACACATAAGTGGCAAACTTTCACTGGGCACTTGTTAGAAGCCACTTCAAATTCCACTACAGAATACAGAATATAGAACATAACCACAACTTTTCCTACTTCCTATTTCCATGATTTTCAGCTGCTGATGCCTATGCAAATTTCATAACATTTGGGATAGAGGAATCCACCAGTTAAGGAAAAATCATGCAATAAACTAAATATTAAACTCCAATTATAAGGGGAAAAACATCATCAGTTCACAAGGTTTAAACCTGCAAAGAAAGGGCACACAGAACCACAGGATTATGTACTTACGAAGGAACATATCTTGCAACAGTTTGCAATGCTCTGTGGCATGTATCAAAGTTTGCAGAAAGGTCTGGAGAAAGAGAAAGGTATTATTATGCCTTTGGTTACAGAAAACTAAATCAGGAACCAATAAAAACAGTTCATATCAACAGCACAATTGAAAGGCTCACAAGGAAACTGCATTTGCCAAAATGTTGTTTGGGAGGGAGCGTACATTGAGGTAAATAAAATGGAAATCAACTCCTAACTTTTATTTGGCTTTGAAACAATCTAGGACTAGGAATGTTTTCCTACACAGTCTGTTCCTACAGATGCTGCACTAATGGGAATATTCTGAAAGTAACAAGGGCTGGGTCCCCACACCACTGATTCGAGTACAAGAAAGTCTGACTTGGGAACTTAAGGATGTTTCCTGAGATTTTACCTGAACTCAGCTACATTAATTTCATAAAAAAGGAGCAACAGACACTGTGTGCTTCTTTAATAAAAGTACTACAGCAGCATATATAAGCCATGCTTCCTTTATACTCACTTTCATCATCATCATCATCAGAATCTGAAATATCCACATCATCTTCTCTGATGGTTATTCGAGCTAGCAAAAATTGAGATTGTTATATCAAAACTGTACTGATCTTACAGGTAACAGTTTCAATGCCAAACACACTGGACAACAGTCTTCATCAGGACTAAAGCATCAAAATTAACCACAAGACTTTCTAAGAGACTGTTCCATTCACAGAACCAAGAGGTTCTTGAGAACATCTGACATGATCCTCACTGCAGCATTTAGTATTTTAGTAGTAATAATATTAGACAGATCATCCATTTCCAAGACATCTTCAGAATAGAATCTGTATTAGCCACTAGAATATGCTTTCTAAAATCTAGGTACAAAGAACTATCTGTATCACAATCAACAGGAAGAAAAAAATAACCCAGTCATTAATTGTGTCACATACTGTATTTATATAGAATTTATCTAGGGAAGACATTTTGATAAGCAAAGAAAGAAGATGAAAAGTAACTTACGGGGAACAAACTGTGATACAATCATCCTGAGGCAGGGCCTGAGGTGGACAGTCTGTGCTGACACCAGATTGCCAAGAAAACCCAGATATTCTTCCACCACCTCTTGGCTTCTTCTCAACCATGGCAGTTTCTGAAAGCAAGCAAAGATCAAGGTGTCAAAGAAAGATGTTTTGAGTACTGAACTCCTAATCTTTTCGTGTAACAAACAGATACTTACCAACAAAATGCTGACCAGTTGTTCAAGCTCTTTGGTCAAATATACAACAGAAGCTCGAAATTCATGCAGCCAATTAATGATCTGGGCATCCTTAAAAAAGCAGAAAAAAATTAGATAACTATTGCAATAAACAGTATTACCTGGTAGCAGAAAATAACAAAATCTTTAAAAGTCAAAGATTAAGTTTGTAAACAGAAATTGTTTTCATATTAACATGCAA